CGCCGCTTGGCTGGCAAAGTGTTTGAGGTGTGAAACGAAGACCCTCAGAGGCAGCCCTGGGGCCCCCCCCTCAGTCGCTCAGGGTAACCTTGAGCTGCCGCTGCTGTTAAGCTCCTGCACCTTTGGACAGCTGCTGCGCATTTCAGGACACCTACACACCCGTCACTGCCTCGGCTGCAGGGGACAGAGTTCTTTCAGTCATTTTAAAACGGGCCTGGTCAGCACAGTGGAACTTGGCAGAAGATGGCTATGCATGGGGATGGTGGGGAGCAGAGCGTGTCCCCTGGGGGCCTCCTCAGGGCCTGGCCCAGGACCTGGAGGGAGGAGGCGGCAGATGTCTGAGAAGATCTGCGGGTGTCTGCCCGTGAGATGCCCGCTCAGCTTCCTGCCATGCCTTCCTGTCACCCACACCTGAAGAGCTGGGCTGCTTCGGGCACGGAGGCTGACAGCAGAGACCACTTCCTCTGCCAGCACCCAGCCGTGGAATCTCGAGAAGACCGACAGCACCCGTAATCACCCTTCCGGCGCAGGGCACCATCAGAAAGGAACTAGAGAGAAACAAGACGCCTCCGCCCCGCTGCAGTCACCCCAACCCGAACAACAGCCAAGTCAGTTTAGTGGTAGGAAGTTGTGTTTTTGTTTTGCCTTTGTTCAGAATACAGGAAATTGGTAAATATGCCACATGCCTTTGGTGGAAGTACAGCTTTTACTTCTGTACAAGTAGGAGAGTGTGTGGGGTTAGAAAGACAGACAGAGGTGATGCCACACACAGCGGGGACGCCACATCGTCCCACGGCAAACCCAAGAGGGGCCGAGGAGACTCGGCCTCGCGTGACTGCCAAGCCCCAGGGCTTAGCTGCATATTTGCTCATGCACGTGGGTGGTGGGAGGGAAGGGGGGCAGCAAAGACGCAGAAGAGGGGGGTACAGGGCAGGGTGGGAGAGAGAGTAGAAGGGCTAACGTCCCCAGAAGAACAAGGCCAACTACACCTGGGACAGACGGGACAGAAACGCAGAAGTGATTCCTGTGATGGGGCGGGCCGAGAGGGCGGATTCGCTCCAGGCTTGGGACACATCGAGGACAGTGGTGGTTCTTCTCCAGCGGTGACCCCCTGCATTAGGCACGGGGAGCCCAGAGGAGGGTGGAGGCCTTCGAGGGGCCTCTGGCCGCTAGGAGGGTACACAGGCTGCCTTCGCCCAGCTCTTCCGTCCCGCCCGGGGGCAGGGCGAGGGGAGAGGAAGGGTGGTTTTGCGGAACGAAATGCTGCTGCGTGGAAAGCGAGCCTGGCCCGGCCGCCTCCTGCTGGTGGACTGGTGGACGGAAGGAATGAAGGGGCGTGGGGCGGTCCCCATTCTGTTCCCAGCCGGCCCTCCTCCCCTCTTACCCAGGTCTGTCCCACTGAGTGCCCTTTCCTGAAGCCCAGCACAGGCCCCCGAGACAGGCTGAGCAGCTCCATCCCCAGGTCCCGCTGTCTGTGCCACAAACCATGCAAAGAGGAGGAAGGGAAAGGGAATTCAGACAGGCAGGGGTGCTTTGGAAGGGGAACATACTGCTGGAAGAACAGAGGGGCCGCTCCAGATGAGAAGGCGCCGTGGTGGCACAGCAGTCAACAAGCAGGCCCGTCTGCTGACGGCTCCACCTCCGCCCCAAGGCTGGCGGGGGCACCGGACTCCCAACACTCAGGAGCAGCCGGGCCTCAGGAAGGGCCTCTCTCCTCAGCCCTGCCTTTGGCAAGTACACGGGGGTGGTGTCGGGGGAAGGGCTCCCAGAGGGTCCAGGGCTCCTACCCTCTGACATCTCATCCTCCACCAACAGCAAGGGAGGTACAGGACGCTTGTAACAAGAGGGTGAGAAATGGCTTCCTCCAAGCTTGGTATTTTCAAATTAGGCCCTTGACTCGCTGTTTCTCTATAACTAACGGGCATTCTCATTATCTATGCCAATGACTAAAATTGAGAGGCTCAAACTTTGGCTAAATGAAATTATTTGATGCCTTCACGAGCAATACAGAATGCTGTAGAAAACGTGGACAAGAGCCCCTTCCAGCTATGAGCCTGTGGGACTGTTTCTAGGATGGGAACGAGAGTCCTGATGCTTTCACTATTAATACGTGTTCTCCAGGTCTCTGGAGGACAAAGTAAAAGGTTGTAAGATCCCTGAAGACATAGAAGATCTTGGACTAACAGATGGGAAATAACTGTGAAAAACAGGTTTGACTTTCTAAAAGAGTCCTGCACCAGGACCAAGCTTGACTTTGGGCCTGGCCCAGGCTCCTCTGCAGGCCTGGCACAGGAGAGGTGAGGGGGCATCCTCCTAGCTGCTCCCAGCCTCCTCCGGCCAGCAGCCTGGCCTTTTCCTGGCAACACCATGGGCACACCACTCTTCTCGTCCCAGTCTTGGCCCCTTCTTGAGCGCGTCCCCTCAGTTACGCCCCCTTCCCCATCCCTTGGCCTCCAACACTTCTTGTCTTTGGGGGAACCTGAGAGAACATGAGAGGGTAGGAAGCAGATGCCAGCTGTTGTCCTTCGGGTAGTTAATTCAAGACTGCACCACAAGCAGCATGTCCAGTGTCGCAGGACGGAGTGCAAATGAAAGCAACACAAGGGGAGGAGTGGGCGATGGAGAAGCAGGACTGGGATGGAGGAAGGCAGACGGGGAAGTTCTGGGGAGAAACAGCAGGACAGGGACATGAGTTTGGATGGCAATGGAGAACAGGGAAGGGGTGGCACATTCTCAAGCAAAAAAGTAGACTGGACACAGGAATCAGGAAGTCCCAGATGGAAAAGAGAAGAGGAGAAAACAAGAGGGCAAATTACATCAGGTTACTGGACATTCAGGCGTAGTTGCAGGTGTCCCATCCCCACGGTCTCCCTCTGAGCCAAGCCAGTGAGGAGAAGCAGACAGCCCACTTCCTCAGAACAGGAGCCACCACCCTCCCCCACAGCCCTGCAGAGTGAAGGCTTGTCCATCAAGGAAGTCCCTCACCTCTGCCCTCCCGCCCTCCCGAACCGGACGGTGCTTCCCTGGCCATGATCTCCATACCTCAGTCAGAGCAGCCCCACTCCCCAGGCAGGCAGGCAGGCAGGCAGGCAGGCAGGCGACGCCGGGACCTTCCCACCTCTTCACCCCACCAGCAACCTCAGCGATACTTACTTACAATAACTACCACGATGATGGCACAGATGGCTCCCAGCATGATCATCATCTGAGGAGACATTGACAAAAAAACAAGCCCTTGGATTTGGGGAAGGAGGCAGGAGCCAGGACCAGGGACTCGGACAGCAGCAGAAGCCACATGCCCCCCAGGACAGCTGAAGGCCTCCCAACCCCTCGTGCTCCCCGTCAGACAGTAACCCCTGCACCACAGCTGGAGCTTCTCAGAAACATGAGAGGGTCTGCAGCTTGCTCCTTTTCTCCTAGTTCCTGTTGCCTGGAGGCTTTTAAAGGAACACCAGAGCAGGTACAGACTTCGGATCTTTAGTCAACTGGTTTGTTTTTCATCAAAAAGTGTTCAGCTCATTCCCAAAAGCTGCAGGTATTTAAATATATAGCTACCCCAGCCATTGTGTCGATGTTGGTGTATCTCAGGAAGGGTCAGGTAAGAATTTTTCCAGGGGTCCTTTGAGAAAAGGCAGCTTGACTAACCCCTCCAAACTCCTCAGGGTCTCCCCTGGCCCTCAGTTAGTGGTTCTGAGCACTTTAGCGTACCCTGGTGGCCAATTCGGGTAATGCAACTCAAGAAGGAGGCTTCCCAGATTGCCTCCCAAGAGTCCTGCAGGGCACAGATCCTGAGAGGGAAGGATTGTGGAACCTGAGGGTTTTCCCGCCTCCTATGTGTTGAGACCCAGGAAAATAAGGGGGAAAAAGGACAAGAACATTCACCTTGCAGTTCTTCCACCAATACTTCCTCTTTAGCTTGGCAGCGCTGCTCTCAAACTGTGATGCGCCCGCCTGCAAAGCGTCGGCTCTATCATCCAGCTCTGACAGCTTCTGGTCCCTCTCCAGGACCTTGTCCACATTTACACGCATGATGTCCACCACCTGAGCAGGGCGCAGGAGCAAAGCGGCTAAACTCCCCCAGAGCCGGGGAGAGAACAGCAAGTCTGCCCTGCCTAACTAAGGGGTGCCCTGTCTCCCGGAGCCTTTAGCTGCCCCTCTGGATAAAGAGAAGTTTCCCAACTTCCATGACTTGGAAACCCTTAGAGAAAAAGCTATCCACGTACCTCCTCCACTTGTGCCTGAGTCTGCTGTAGTCGTCTGTTACTGGTCAAATTAGGAGGAGGGCCAGGGGGACCCCCACCTGGGGCAGCCCCTTCTGCCCCTTCGGTGGGTGGCTGAGCTGCCGCAGACCTGCGGAGGGAAGTGCACAGAGTGACCAAGACAAGAAAGGAATCACATACGTCCTCACCCCTGTCACCAAAGCAAGGGTGATATGCAAGTAGAAGGGATTCCAGCTCCTTGGCAATACCAAGTGGGGAGATGCAGCACAGAGGTCCAAAGCAAAAGATCAAAGATCCTGCAACAGATGGGGCCCAGCGACATCCAGGGTGGCATCAAGAGCTCTCGTTTGGGCTATCCTCTGACCCAAACTCAAACACATCCTCTGGCACAATGGCCACAGGGACAAATGGGCCAGTCTTGGCTTAAATGGCATTTCTCTGCCTCCCAGAAGCCTTTTTCACATGAAGTCAAACTGGAAAACTCCAATCCAGGAGAATTACCTACAAAAAAACTCAAGCCTCAGGACAAGCTTACAGACTGAACAACTCTTTTTTTGCAAAGCCTGAATATAAAAAGAAAGGCCAAGCTGACAGACTCTGCTGAGGGGGAGCCAGTTACTGGTTGTTTCATGCAATGATTAGTATGTCGTGGCCAGTTATTGGTTGTTTCATGCAATGATTAGTATGTCGTGGCCAGTTACTGGTTGTTTCATGCAGTGATTAGTATGTCGTGGCCAGTTACTGGTTGTTTCATGCAATGATCAGTATGTCGTGGCCACTGTAAGGACGACCTGGAGAATCACCAAAGGCCTCTGTAGTTGCAGTGAGTCAGGACTGTTTGCTTGCTTTGTTTTTTGGCAGAGAAGACTGGGGTTTCACTTAGATAGAACTGGGGCCCAAAGCAATTGTGTCAATTGTGAAAGTGTTCCAAGAGCATAGACAGGGAGCAAAAATATTGGAAATGGTCCTCAGTGTACGTGCACCAGAGACAGCCTGTCCCTTCCTTTTTTAGATCTGGCATCCAGTCTCAGGAGACTCTCCTAGTTCCTGATGTCCCAACTAGGAATCTTGGTTTACACTGCTAGGCACAGAGACCATACTCCCTTTCCCTTAGCCTTAGGGGAGAATAATCCAGTGTGGGATCCTCAAAATAAACTCCTCTCCACGTCCCAACACATGGAAGCTAAATTCACCTCCTCAAGAATTCCCTGAAGTCTAACCTAAAGCATGAGATTTTCTCTGCCAAGGAAGAAGTCACAGGTAGGAGAGAGATCTCTCCAATTTGATGGAGAAAAGAAATTACAATAAGAACTCCTCAAACAGAAGCAGAATCTCACAAAGCCTACCTCATAGGAGCAGTCCAAGAGTAAATGCACTACGGATGAAACCATCACAAAGTCACCAAAAAGGAAAAGCCTTGACTACTCACAATAGAACTAATGCCCAGAAGTTCCTCCTCTCTAAGTAAGTAAATTTCAGTCTCAAAAGAGAATAACCCTTCAGAGAGGTTATACTAGCAGATTACACCTGACTCATCCTGGCTAAAAGAATTGCTTTCCCGTTGCCCTTTAAGGCACAAAGGAGGCAAAGGAAAGATACAACAACACTATGGCAGCCACCAGGCTCCTATGCTACTACTGTGCCACACAATCTACTTCTCTGGTGAAAGTGGAAAATTCAAGGAGTAGGAAGTAGCCGGTGTTTGGTCTTGGAAGCAGTCCAGGCTGGTGGCACCAATGACAAGATTAAGGTCAGAGACCTCGTGATGCCCTTCTAGTCACCACGGTTTCCCCATCTCCTTCCTTTCATCCCATATGGATGCTACTGGCAACCAGTGAGCTGAAGAGGCTCCCCCTCCCCAAAATGAAAACACAAGGAATCCTAGGGCTTGGCCAAAACGCGTAGAATATCATATACAGTTAAAACTGTAGAAATCAAATAGAGAAAAAGGGAAATCGTTATAAAGCACTTGAAGGGACCATTTCACTTATTACTTCTTGGGAGTTGGGAACACGCAGGAATAACATATCCGGGGATAGTTATAACCCTTATGTAACGTAAGTAAATCTTTTCCCTTTTTGTCACCAAGAGAAGCAACACAAATACATCTAGGACCAGGCCAGGACTCCAAGAAAGAAAGGGAAGTTCTTCATTTGTCTAGCTATAGTTCTCCCTCAGGATCTTGGGATGGGGTGACCATGGTCAGATGACTAAATTGATGATCAGAGACTAAATTGAATGTACTGAGGGAAGGTGGCGGGGCGGGGAGGCGGGGATCCTTAGCTCTATTTCTCTTCCAAGTACTTGGCTAAGACTCAATGACAGGAAAACACCTCCTATACGGGTGGCCTTGGGATGAATGGATGCTTGGAATCACATGCCACTGCACCTTGAGTCTTTGTGAGCTGCTCACCTGGCGCCAGTGAACTGGCAGATAAGTGCCTGGAGCTTTGCTCACTACCGAGAGGTGGGGCTACTCGTCACGGTCGGGGTGAGGGGCGTACACAAAGCTAGAGACTGCAGAGCAACCCAAGTTACTAACTGGCAGGTGCACCCATGACTATCCTTCCAGAGGTCCCAAGCACAGCTTCAATCAACGACAAGAAAGGGCCTGGAGCCCCCTCCCAGGTGTCTCCGCGCCCCACCTTCGCCCGAGACTCGACTGAGGAGCCCCGCAGGTGAGAGGAGAGGGGGCAATGAATGTGGGACCCCCGCGCCCCTGCCCCGCCCATGGGGTGCCGGCTGCGGCTGGTGCAGGAATGGGGTGCTGCCTCCCTTCCCCGGGGGTGGCTCGGCCTGCGGACGGCGCGCTGCGGTGGTTCCCCGCGTCGCCGCAGCTGCTGCAATGCGCCATTTTCGGTCCCGCAGAGTCCGGCGCTGGGGTGAGAGTTGGCAAGGTGTCGCGCCCCCCACACCAGGGTCAACTCACATGTCTCTGACAGAAGGAGGAGAGGTCCGTCTCCTCTCCCGAGGGTGCGGCGAGACACCCGGCCGGGGAACACTGCGGTGAAGCCGACCGCACCGCCGAGCTCCGCTTCTAGAAAACCACTCGGAGTTCTAGCTGCGGTGGAACTGACTGCACCTGCAGCCCCGGCTTGTCTTTATTAGCGCTGGCCGCGCCCCCAGATCACGCTGACAACGCTGCGGCCCAATCCACACTCAGGACAGGCGCCAGTCCCGAAGCGAAGCCCGGATAAGGCCTAGAGCCCCCGCCCCTGAAAATCTGCCAGTCCCAGCTCTCTTCTCATCCTGACTCGGGTAAGAAGCGGTGCCGGAAGGATCTGACCAATACAGCTCTGGTTTGCGTACCTGTCTAACTAAGCGACGGGGCGGGGTGGAACTAGGCGCCCGCTCCTTGGAAGGGCGGCTCCAACAATTTGAATTAGGCCTTTTTGGTGCCTCCCAGCCAATCGCTGAGCAGTTCCTTAAGTCCGGGCCCGCTCGCGGACCCCGGCGCCGGCGTCTCCAGCCAATCACGCCGTTTCCGCTGACAGCGGTGGGCGGGGGCGGGGGCGGGGGCGGGGGCGGGCTCCGGCTCGCTAGGGCCTGGACTCTGGAGCCCGGGGAGCGGCGGAGGTTCGGTGGTCCAGGCACTGTGCTGGCGCTCGGACCTGGCCGGCCTCCACCCCACCTACCCGCCTTTGACAGCTCTGAGGAGGCTGAATCCATCAAGTCAGAGCCGCAGGCTCCCGTGGCCAAAGTAAATACGAGAGCTCCGTTCATCCGTTCTACACAGCCAACCAGCCCCTCACGCAGTGTATCCTAATTTTAACTCCCCCTCCCCAAACCTGCTCGTCCTATCCATCCCAGGTAGCTTACTACATCGATTCAGTTGCCCAAACCAGAAACCTGGAAACTATCGTAGATTTCCTCCCCGTTCATCTTTACCTGTCCTCTAATAATTCAAGTTTTCCTTCTTAGCATTTCAAGGATTCTCCCCTCGTCTCACTGTCCTGCTTCAGATTATTATCCCTTACCTGGACGCCCTCAGTTGTAAAACTATTATTTTATGTCCCGATAAGTAAAAAGGTAGCAAATCAACTGTGACATAATGCTTTCTTATCACTTCGAATTTTTATTTTATATTTATTTCAAGTGCAGGTGTCTATAGATGTAGATTTTTATCATACTTCACTCTCGTGAAAATACATAAAAAGGAAAACAGAAAAGAGTAACATGGTAACAGTGTTCATAAAACTTCACATTCAGACACTGACTCTTATGATTCATTTTTTTTACTCATGTGCATGATTTCCACACAATGTAGTCCTCTGTGCATGCCATCAGGGGCTTTGGTGATGCAGCATTTCTTAAAGGAATGTTCCTTTTCTGTCTCTGGAATTTTCTTCCAAGCCTCAGACACCCATTTGGCAAAGTTTGATTCTTATGAGCCAGTATGACAAATACAGTATGACTGTTCTGGCTAATAGTTATAGTCAAACATCCCAATTTAGATGTTAAAATGAAAAAAAAAGTGCCAAGTGCCCCTTAAAATTAATGAAATATAATATCTTTCTGTTTCATCTTGCCCTCATTTATAAGCATCCTCTAAGAAACCACCAGGTGGTCTACCCAAATGTTACAACCCTGATTAAAACCTTTAAACAATTAGAAACACAATGTATTGATCATATGTGTTTATCCCATGCCCCTTCTGAAACTACATCAAAATGAAAATTGGTAAATACTGAAAACAAATTATAAACCCTCAAAGACAAACAGAATGGAAGGAATTGTTTCAGGCAGCATGAATGGCTAAATATGCCCACCAGATTCACATGAGGTGGCAAAAAAAAAAAAGTACAGAGAGCGGTTCCCCTGTACCCCTTCACCCAGTTTCCCCCAATGGTAACATCTTATTTAGCTACAGTACAATATTAAAACTAGAAAATTGACATTGGTACAATCCACAGAGCTTATTCAGATGTTGCCTCTTTTACATGCATTTGTGTGTGTGCATGTGTGTGTGTGTGCGTGTGTAGTTTTATGCAATGTGTGTGTAGATTCCTGTAACCACCACCACAATCAGGATACGGAACTATTACATTACTACAAGGCTCCCTTTTGCTATCCCTGTATAGCCACACCCACCCTGATCCCGCACCCTTGGCAACTGCTAATTTGTTCTTCATCTCTATACCTTTATTTCAAGACTGTTATATAAATGGACTCAGACAGTATATAACCTTCTAAGATTGGCTTTTTTTTTTTTTAATATCCTCGAGATCCATTCAAGTTGTGTGTATAAATAATTTTCATTGCTGAGTAGTATTTCCGTGGTACGGATATACCACAATCTGTTTAACCATTTACCTGCTTAAAAGACATTTGGGCTGATTCCAGTTTGGGCTGATTCCAAATAAAGCTGCTATGAACATTTATGTACAGTTCTGCATGAACATAAATTTTCATTTCTCTAGAATAAATGCCCAAGAGTTCAATTACCGGGTAATAAGCTAATTGCATATTTAGTTTTATAAGAAATTGCCAAACTGTTTTCCAGAATGACAGCACCATTTTAGATTCCCACCAGCAACGTATGAGGAATCCAGTTTTTCCACATCCTCACCAGCATTAGTTGTTGTCACTTTTTTTTAAATTTTTTAACCGTCCTGATAGTTATTTAGTGATATATCATTGTGGTTTTAATTTTTGTTTCCCTGATGGCTAACGATGTAGAACATATTTTAATGTGTTTATTTGCCATCTATATATCCTCTTTGGTGAAAGATCTGTTCATGTCTTTTGCCCATTTTCTAATTGGCTTGTTCATTTTTTTTACCTTTGAGTTTTAAGAATTCCTTAAATATTCTAGATAAAGTACTTTGTCAGATAAGTGGTTTCTCCCAGTCTGTCTTTTGTCTTTTCATCCTCTTAACTGAATCTTTTATAGAGCAAACGTTCTTAACTTTAAGATCCAATTTATCAACTTGTCCTTTAATGCATCACTTTTGGTGTCACACTTTGCCTAGCCCTAGAGTCTCATAATTTTCTCCTATTTTATTTTCTAAGAGTTGTACAGTTTTGTTTCATATGTAAGTCCATAATCCATTTTGAGTTAATTGTTGTATGAGGTGTGAAGTTTAGGTCAGGGTTCCTTTTTTTTTGTCAATGGATGTTTAATTGCTCCAGGACTGTTTGTTGAAAAAGCAATCCTTCCTCCATTGAATTGTTTTGCATTTTTGTCAAAAATTAGTTGGGCATATTTGTGCAAGTCTGTTTCTGGGTTTTCTATTCAGATCTGTGACCTATGTGTCTGTCCTTCTGCCAATAACATGCTGTCTTAATTACTGTAGCTAAGGTAAACCTTAATATAAGGTAGAATTATTTTTCCCACTTTATTGTTCTTTTTCAAAATGGGTTTAGCTATTCTAGGTCCTTTGCCTAATAGATCATTTTAAAAATGCATTTGTGTAAACTGGCAAGAAAATAGACTATTTAAGGTCCAAAAAACTAAGTGAAAGCTGGTACCTGGAGAGGTAAATTGAGCGCTGAAGCTTGTTTTGCCTTGAGGGCGTTTGCTTAAAAGTTGAATTTAGGCATGGTGACCTCATAGGGTGCCACTGTGGCATTGGAGACAGAACCCAGGGCCTGCATAGGGTTGGAAATCTAATAGAAGGCCCCCACTATAACACCAGAACCCCAGAAGACTATATCCTCATGTAAGAGTGGCTTTAAAATATGCTAACACCTGAACTGCCCCTAGGGGATTGCATAGAAAATTTGCTCATCTGGAATCTAAGTGCCTACTAGAGATCTTTTCTTTTTTCTTTTAAATATATGCAGATAATTTATAATCAAATCTGTGACTTTTCTGCCTGAATTCCTTGTTGGTCCGAAAAACAAAATAGCAAGAATTTAAAATGGTTCCAGGTTGACAGTGCCACCAAGCACCAGCTGGAACAATGCAGATCATCTCTGGATGAGCTGATCTTCAATCTAGGCCTTGGGGAATTTCCACAGATACAGTTCCAAGAAAAAGAGATTTTGGTCAAAAATGGGAGCAAAGAACAAGGAGCATGAGCCAGCAAAGATGGAAATAGGAAGTAAGAAAATTAGAAAATTAAGCCAAATAGTTCAATATCTGATTAATAGGAGTTCTAAAAAGAGAGAACGGTATGAGAGAGAAAGATTACAAAAGAAATACAAGAAAAATTTTCTGAATTGAACAAGTCTTTCTGGATTACATAGTACACTATGTGCCTAGCATAGTGAAAGAAAAAGAATCACATCAAGACACATCTTTGTAAAATCTCAGAATATTAGGGGAAAAGAGAAGATCCAAAAAGATTTCAAAAAGAGAGAAAGGGACCTCCCTGGTGGATCCCTGGTCAGGAACTAAGATCCTGCGTGCCACATGACGTGGCCCCCCAAAAAAGAGAGAGAGAGAGAGAAAGGAACAGGAATGAGAATGGCAACTCAATACGGTATTAAAAGATAGATGATGTGACAGTGCCTTTAAAATTCTGAAGAAACATGATCATTACCCTAGAATTCTATACCAGCCAAATGAATATAAGACCAATACATACCAATATAAGAAAAATATAGACATCTTTCAGATATGCAAGGAGTGAACATTTTTACTTCTCTTTCCAAGTAGGCTACTATAAGATGTGCTCTGGTAAACAGGAAAGAGAAAGGCAGCAGAGCTAGGGAATGGAATGCTGGATCCACACACAAAACTGATGAAGGAAATCTTTGGAATGAAAGCTATACCACAGACCCAGAAACAACCTGTCCTGACTGAAATAGGAGGAAGGAGGAAACTGCAGGACAGTCTCCAGAGGGGGGGAAAAAACTGTAAAGCATCTGACATGTTTAAATATTTGAAAAAGAATATGAACAAGTACTTTACAAGTCTGATGTGACATGCGGAAAAAATTAGAGCTAGATACATAGAAAATCATATTTTGAAAAAGAGGTAATTATAAACTTAGGGGAAAACAAAAAGTTGAATAAGAACTAGAAATTATCTCACCTTTACGTTAATTGATTTTCAACAAGAGTGTCAAGACGGGACTTCCCTGGTGACGCAGTGGTTAAGAATCCGCCTGCCAATGCGGGGGACAGGGGTT